TAGAGGAGAGAGAAGAGAGAGACGCCCGGCATGGAGAGAGACGCCCCTCGAGAGATAGAGAGAAGAGACGCCTGGCCCATGAGAGAGAGACGCCCGGCTCAAGAGAGAGATACAGAGAGACGCCCGGGTCATGAGAGAGAGATAGAGAGACGCCTCCATGAGAGATAGAGAGACGCCCGTCAGAGAGAGATAGAGACAGACGCCCGGGCTCAGGAGAGATAGAGAGAGACGCCGGCTCATGGAGAGAAGAGAGAGACGCCCGGCCCATGTGAGCGATAGAGAGAGACGCCCGGCTCATGTGAGAGATAGAGAGAGAGAGAAGCCCGGCTCATGAGAGAATAGAGAGAGACGCCCGGCTCATGAGAGAGATAGAGAGAGAGATACCCCCGCTAAGAGATATTCAAGACACCTGGGTTATGATGGCAAATTTAAAACCAACACTGAAACAAAAAATTATAGGTAGAATGGATTCTTAAAGACACCTGAAACTCACCTGAGGATACCTGGTGCAATTAAGGTTAGGTTAGGTTACCATTAGGGAGTTCAACCTTACGATGAAATCACTCTACGCGTATAACAGAGGACCCGACTTTAATTAATACACGACCACAATCTCTAGAGTTAAGTGAGGGTAATATCCTTCTGGCGGCTCTAATATGTAAAGGAGGTTATAAACATTCACATCAGTCTGTCCTCTAATGTTTACTAGTAAGAAATGTTGGGAGACGATTATTAACTTTATGGCCAAGTTGTAAAAAAGGAGACAAAAGACTTAGGTGAATTTAAGAGACTCGTTCTTGGTAGTACAAGGTATATGAGACTGTAACTAGACTGTGAGACTGTAACTAGACTGTAACTAAGGTAGATGGGAGTGTAAGTAAGGTAGATGAGACTGTAGCAAAGGTAGATGACTGTAACTAAGGTAGACAACACTGTAACTAAGGTAGACAGCACTGTAACTAAGGTAGACAACACTGTAACTAAGGTAGACAGCACTGTAACTAAGGTAGACAGCACTGTAACTAAGGTAGACAACACTGTAACTAAGGTAGATGACTGTAACTAAGGTAGACAACACTGTAACTAAGGTAGACAACACTGTAACTAAGGTAGACAGCACTGTAACTAAGGTAGACAACACTGTAACTAAGGTAGATGACTGTAAATAAGGTAGACAACACTGTAACTAAGGTAGACAGCACTGTAACTAAGGTAGACAACACTGTAACTAAGGTAGACAACACTGTAACTAAGGTAGACAACACTGTAACTAAGGTAGACAGCACTGTAACTAAGGTAGACAACACTGTAACTAAGGTAGACAACACTGTAACTAAGGTAGACAACACTGTAACTAAGGTAGACAACACTGTAGCTAAGGTAGATGACTGTAAATAAGTTAGACAGCACTGTAACTAAGGTAGACAACACTGTAACTAAGGTAGATGACTGTAAATAAGGTAGACAACACTGTAACTAAGGTAGACAACACTGTAACTAAGGTAGACAACACTGTAACTAAGGTAGACAGCACTGTAACTAAGGTAGACAACTGTAACTAAGGTAGACAACACTGTAACTAAGGTAGATGACTGTAACTAAGGTAGACAACACTGTAACTAAGGTAGACAACACTAAGGTGGACAACACTGTAACTAAGGTAGACAACACTGTAACTAAGGTAGACAACACTGTAACTAAGGTAGACAGCACTGTAACTAGTAGACAACATAACTAAGGTAGACAGCACTGTAACTAAGGTAAACAACACTGTAACTAAGGTAGAAGACTGTAACTAAGGTAGACAACACTGTAACTAAGGTAGACAGCACTGTAACTAAGGTAGACAACACTGTAACTAAGGTAGACAGCACTGTAACTAAGGTAGACAACACTGTAACTAAGGTAGACAGCACTGTAACTAAGGTAGACAGCACTGTAACTAAGGTAGACAGCACTGTAACTAAGGTAGACAACACTGTAACTAAGGTAGACAACACTGTAACTAAGGTAGACAACACTGTAACTAAGGTAGACAGCACTGTAACTAAGGTAGACAACACTGTAACTAAGGTAGACAGCACTGTAACTAAGGTAGACAGCACTGTAACTAAGGTAGACAGCACTGTAACTAAGGTAGACAACACTGTAACTAAGGTAGACAACACTGTAACTAAGGTAGACAACACTGTAACTAAGGTAGACAGCACTGTAACTAAGGTAGACAACACTGTAACTAAGGTAGACAGCACTGTAACTAAGGTAGACAGCACTGTAACTAAGGTAGACAGCACTGTAACTAAGGTAGACAACACTGTAACTAAGGTAGACAACACTGTAACTAAGGTAGACAACACTGTAACTAAGGTAGACAGCACTGTAACTAAGGTAGACAACACTGTAACTAAGGTAGACAGCACTGTAACTAAGGTAGACAGCACTGTAACTAAGGTAGACAGCACTGTAACTAAGGTAGACAACACTGTAACTAAGGTAGACAACACTGTAACTAAGGTAGACAACACTGTAACTAAGGTGAACAGCACTGTAACTAATTAGACAACACTGCTAACTAAGGTAGACAACACTGTAACTAAAATTAGACAACACTGTAACTAAGGTGAGGTAACCTGTAACTAAAAAGGTAGACAACACTGTAACTAAGGTAGACAGTACTTTTAATAACTAAGGTAGACAACACTGTAACTAAGGTAGACAACACTGTAACTAAGGTAGACAGCACTGTAACTAAGGTAGACAACACTGTAACTAAGGTAGACAGCACTGTAACTAAGGTAGACAACACTGTAACTAAGGTAGACAGCACTGTAACTAAGGTAGACAACACTGTAACTAATATATTTAACTTTTTTCGACATCACACTAGTACAGGAAGCTCGGTACAGGAAGCTCGGGAGGCCATCACAAGGTCACACAACTCCCGACACCTGATGTAATTAATGCCTTTTGGCCGTGATAAAGTTCTGTATTTGGCATTTTTTACTTAACTAGGGATGATCTCTCTCTCTCTCTCTCTCTCTCTCTCTCTCTCTCTCTATCTCTCTATCTCTCTCTCTCTCTCTCTCTCTCTCTCCCTTTCTTTTCATCTCTCTCTCGCTGTCGCAGTGTGGTGTACAAGGCAGACACCTAATTAGATCAATCATTTAAAAGTTATCTATGAGTTACTATTATCATTATCACACTTATTATTATTATTATTATTATACAAACGGAATAAGTCATAAATATCCGAGAGCGTTCGAGTATCCAACCATCAGCATGTGGATTATTATTGACAAAACGAATGATTGTCACAGGAGGGGCTACCGGATAAAATATATTCACATGGAAAAAAATACTACCCATATCATACAGGATCTCAGTCGTGGTGAAACTTGACGCTCTTATTATCATTATCATTATTATTATTATTATTATTATTATTATTATTATTATTATAATTATTATCATTATTATTATTATTATTATTATTATTATTATTATCATTATCATTATCATTATCATTATTATTATTATTATTATTATTATTATTATTATTATTATTATTATTATTATTATTATTATACTATTTAAGGTTTTCAAATTTTTATAATGAGAGTATGTACGTTGGTAAGTATCTGAAGTATGTTTATTAGTCACCTTCTCAAGAGTAGGTAGTAATGACAGTATTATATTCTGGGACGTGTCGTGTACATGTTTCGGCAACAGGTAAATTACCTTGGAAGTGTGTGTAAGCAGGTCAGCCTCATTACTACTGCAAGGGGTACAATTACTGCCTGTAAACCTGTCGTGGAGGTATGTGGGGAATCTCTCTCTCTCTCTCTCTCTCTCTTTTGACATTTTATTGTCACTGTTTGTTTCCTAAATTCATCACCTTTTTCAGAGAGAGAGAGAGAGACTTTATCCCAGTATTACAACATCACTCGTTCCATATTCCAGCCCCCAACATCAAAAGCTTCTCTACCCCATAACTGTGATATATGGCACAATCTGACCCGCCACTGTGTCTAAACCAACCCGACTTTCACCCTCTGCATCCTTCATAAATAAAACCAAGAGTTGAGTTGATAGGATTGTTGGTATTATCTGAAATAACCACGCAAACTTAACTTAACCCAATTTAACCTAACATATCACGGTAACTTAACCATATTATATCACGGTAACTTAACTTATCATATCACGGTAATTTATCTTAACATACCTCGCTAACTTTAAGTAACCCAGTTTAACCTCTGATGTTAACTTAACCTTATATATCACGTTAATTTATGGTTAACTTAACCATATTAAATCACATTAACTTATCATATCACGGTAATTTATCCAAACATACCACGCTAACTTAACCTAACCTAGCTTAACCTAACACACAAACACGGACATAACGCAACATTATTTACTAAGAGGAGAGATATCACGTACAAACACACGGACATAACCCAACATTGTCTACTATGAGGATATCACGTACAAACACACAAACACAACCCTGGACACACAAATTTCCCTTAATTACAGGTGTAACGAGGCGAGTGATTTATACCTGTCGGGAGCCATTCATACTGAGACAACCCCTGTACACCACACAATGTACGTTTGTTATCATTGACTTAATATATTACCTATGACAATAAAGCTCTATAGAGTGTATGTATGTATGTATGTATGTATGTATGTATGTATGTATGTATGTATGTATGAATGTATGTATGTATGTATGTATGTGGGAGATTCACAAAGATGCAAAGGCAACAAAAATTCCTTAGATCAGTAGATACGAAATTAAAATATGAAACTGAATGACCATTATATTGAATATTTGTCTGTCTATCTATCTATCTATCTATCTATCTGTCTATCTATCTATCTGTCTATCTATCTCTCTATCTGTCTGTTTGTCTATCTATCTATCTGTTTGTCTGTCTAACTATCTATCTATCTATGCCTTGACACTAACTCCATTTCCCCCTCTCCAGGACACAGGAGGAGGAAACAGCCTGCACCCGGTAGAGGCAGAGGGCGTGGTGGAGGTGGAGAACACGGTACTTGTCCGCACTAAACGACAGGAGGAGCAGCCGGAGACCGTAGGAGGTAGTTCAGTAGTTTGGGTCGTTAATGTCTCATGCAGTGTGGTGTTCGTTAGCTTGGTCCTATGAAAATTATTAACCACACGATTATTTTACTTGATGATTACATAACCTAACCTAACCTAACCTAGCTAACCTGTTTTAACCTGACAAATTAACAATAAATAACCTACCTTAACCTAAACTAACTTAATCTAACCTAACCTAACCTATTTTATCCTAACAAATTAACATAAAATAATATACCTTAACCTAACCTAACCTACTTTACTATAACTAATTAACATAAAATAACCTACCTTTAAATAACCTAACCTAACAAATTAACATAAATAACCTACCTTAACCTAACCCACCCCAGGATATTTAATCATCAGGTAAAATAACAGGTAGAGAGGGGGGCTAATCTTCAGGTGATCCAGCTAGGGTAACTGTGCCCCACTCTGAGTGCTGGAATGATTGTATTGTACTCTGAGTGCTGGAATGATTGTATTGTACTCTGAGTGGCTGAGTTGAGCACCGAGAGAAATTGTAGTCTGTTATTTTTGTTATTCTTATTAACTTTTAATTTTTAACTGGTGAGTTGTGCAGTATCTTTGTTTTGATTGGTCGGGATGAGCACCAAAGAGTACTTAAATAGCATGTGATTGGTGAAAAATAATGATCTTTGTTTTTATTGGTTGGAATGATCACCAGGGAATACTTTAATATAATGTGGTGAAGAATGGTGAGTTTTATTTGATTGGGCGAACCAGCATAGTCTGATATCTAAGTTGAATGAATTTGGTAGATAATTTGTGTGTTCTCTGTTCTGATTGGATGAAACAAAACCATGTAATATCTAGGAAGCATATGATTGGTCGTCTTGGTTTGAATGTCCTGATGTTATTTTTGAGAGAGAGACCAGCTATCACCACCTATTAACCACTAAATTTTCCCAGGTAGCCAGGACAAATATTAAACTGCACTGCACATATACAATGAATGGCTTCGCTAATATGTCTCTTTTATTCATTTCAGCAATTATTATTTTTTTCTATGCATATTTTTCACACTTTTTTTTTCATATATGTTAGAGCTACAGTTTCATCTGCTTCAGGAGAATGGTTAACAAGGCTTTGTTTATTTTAGGGGGGGTCGTGTTGGGTGTTTAATGGTGGTACAGTTTGTTGCTGTTTTGAGTGTGTGTGTGTGTGTGTGTGTGTGTGTGTGTGTGTGTGTGTGTGTGTGTGTGTGTGTGTGTGTGTGTGTGAAGCCTTTGGCAGATTCCGTACCCGTGTCTTCACCTGTAGGGAGCTGAAATTATCTACAGATTTGCATGTATATCGAGCAGTGGTCCTCCCCACCCTGCTATATGGCAGCGAGACATGGGTCACATACAGGAGGCACCTCAAGGCACTTGAAAACTTTCACCAACGTAGGCTACGTTCCATTCTCCGAGTTCGCGAGGAAGACAAGAAAACAAATGCCAGTATTCTCGCTGACACCAACTGTAGGAGCATAGAGGCTACCATTATCTATGAACAACTACTCTGAACTGGCCATGTTACCAGCATGGACGACAGTAGACTCCCAAAGCAGCTACTTTACAGTTATCTAACAAATAGTAAACGTAACGCTGGCGGGCACCTGAAAAGGTATCAGGATAGTCTTAAAACAAACCTGAAAAGTGCCAAATCGACCCCCCCCCACCTGGGAGACGATTACTCCACACAGTAACGCTTGGAGGAGCATCACTCGAGAAGGTGTCAATACTTTCGAATTAGCCCGAGTGCATACCGAGGAAGACAAGCGCCAACGCGGGAAAGATGCTACCGCCACCCCTCCCGCACTAGATGTAGTCCTCCACACGTGCAACATCTGTGGACGGCACTGCCAGTCCCGTATCGGCCTCTTTAGTCACCTCAGAGCTCACCAATGAAGGTAACATCCCTAATAACTCATATCATTGTATCACAGCTGGATGATCCGACATACTCGATTCCAAGTAGTAGTAGTAGTAGTGGTAGTAGTAGTAGTAGTAGTAGTAGTAGTAGTATGTGTGTGTGATTGTATTTATGAGTGTATATGTGTGTATTAGTGTGTATGTATATAAGTGTAATAATAATAATAATAATTAACGGTTTATTGAAAGAGCTTGGCAGCCAGAAGGCTGAAAATATACAGTTACATATTTGGGGAATGGGTTACGAATTACAAATAATATACAAGTAACATGAGTGACACAATTAAGACATATAATAACTAGATGGGGAAAAGCTCAAACTACAGTTCATTTCAACATAGTGACAGTGTAAGGAGTAGTGTTTACTGGGAGTGTATGTGTATATGAGTGTGTATGTACAGTCTATGCGTGTATATGTGTGTATGAGTGTATATGAGTGTATATGTGTATCCAACATTAAACCCCCTAACCTGACCTCCCTTAAACCATGATAAACAAACCCCCTTACCCCCGACCCACCCCTCCAGCTACCCCACCACCAACCCCCACCCCTCCCGCTACCCCCACCACCAACCCCCACCCCTCCGCTACCCCACCACCAACTCCACCCCTCCCCGCTACCCCACCACCAACCCCCCACCCCTCCCACCCCACCACCAGCCCCCACCCCCCCCTGCTACCCCACCACCAACCCCCCACCCTCCCCGCTACCCCACCACCAACCCCACCCCTCCCTTCACCACCAACCCCCCTCCCCCTACCCCCACCAACCCCCACCCCCCACCCTCCCCGCCCCACCCCCTCCACCACCACCCCCCACCCCTCCCTTTACCCCACCACCAGCCCCACCCCTCCCCTTCTCCCACCACCACCCCACCCCCCCCCACTCCCACCACCAACCCCCCCCTCCCCTTTACCCCACCACCAACCCCACCAGCCTCCCACCACCAGCCCCACCCCTACCAACCCCACCCCTCCCGCTACCCCACCACCAGCCCCTACCCCACCCTACCCACCACCAGCCCCTACCCCTCCCGCTACCCCCACCACCAGCCCCACCCCTCCCTGTACCACCCCACCACCAACCCCCCACCCCCTTGCTACCCCTGCCCCTACCCCTCTCCCGCTACCCCACCACCAACCCCTACCCTCCCGCTACCCCCACCACCAGCCCCACCCCTCCCCGCCACCCTACCAACCCCCACCCCTCCCCGCTACCCCACCAGCCCCACCCCTCCCCGCTACCCCCACCCCCCCACCATCAAGAGTTATATCAGTGATGGCAATAGACTTTAAGTTAACGAATAAACTAATACACAAATATAACAAAACAAAACATACAGAAAATACGTAGTAAAAAAACATAACCACTAATTTCGTGTATGTTTCCCCCATTCGTGATTTATAAATTATAATGTATTTTTCATATATTTTTCATAATACAGTAGTGCAGATAAGCCATAATACACCACACTACACCTCGTAAAAAAATACATCCAATAACCAGATAAAATAAATAATTTTTAGTTATATAAATAAATAACATAAACAATTATATTATACAGATATGTATAAATAAGTTAAAGTAAAAAGAAAGGTAAATACAATAAGCAAAATACAGGAATGGTGTGGTACAAAACTCTACAAACTCTATAGATAAACTTTAATGAGCGTTAGAATGTTGTGTTGTATCGCTGCAGAAGAGAGTCAACAGTACTAAGATATCTCATCACTCATACGACACTATAACACTAGTACTCTCAACAGCACCTCGGGGACACACCCATAAAGGTTCATACGGTGAATATACTTCGGCCCAGCCTAGTAATATGACGTAGAAAAAAAGAAAAGAAAAAGTAATATGTCGTAGAGTAATGTGATTGGATAATATGGCGGTATCCTCTACAGAAGCAAATTTTAGTCACTTGAACTGGCCAATCACAAGCCAAAATGAGAAAAAGGGGTCGGGCTGTTTGATATTTCCATAATAAATACACTGTAGTCAAGGTGGAGTCTCAGTGTTATGTTAATCTAGCTTTGGGGAGGGGAGTTAGTACTTTATTATTAGAGGTTAAGTTACGAGGAATAGTGATCGTAAGAATCTTTGTGAATATTGTGGCCTGGATCTTCTTAGTTATGAATGATGGACTTCTTATGCACTGATTTACTACACTTACACTAATCTCACGCACACACTTTCAATTTCTCTCTCTCTCTCTCTCTCTCTCTCTCTCTCTCTCTCTCCATTACACAGAATACACCATGACAATAGTTGTACCCACAAGGCATATTCGGAGCTCTATGTCCCTCACAGTAATGTATTGACAGAATTCCTCGTTTGCACCAGAAGTAGAGCCAGCCAGCCAACCGAAACCTAACCTTACCAAACATGACCTAATCTGACCTACCCTAACTCAATCTAATCTGACCAAAAATAACCTGATCTAACCTAACCCAACCTAACCTAAGCCGACCAAAACAAACCTAATCTAACCTAATCTAACCTAACCTTACCAAACATGACCTAGTCTGACCTTGCCTAACTAACTCAACCTAACCTGACCAAAAATAACCTGATCTAACCCTAACTTCACTTAATCTAACCCAACCTAACTTGACCAAGCCCAACCTAATTTTACCAAACCAAACCTCGCCGAGCTCTAACTAAACCTAACCTAACCTAACCTAACATAACCTAACCTAACCTAACCTAACATACCCAGACATCATGACAATATACGTACTCAATAAACAGCTCAGGCTCTAAGATTGAAATATATATATCCATTAATTTGTTTAGATCACTGGTTGACTGAGACACAAAGAGGGAACTCAGAGTTTTGTAAAAGAAGTTGTACTTGAGTTTGATTTACCGTCCTGATATGATTTTCCGTCAGACTCGGTCGTAGTTGAGAAAGAAATACATTTTACAATTCCTCACAACTTGGTAAACACTGCTCGATAACGTTTGGAATAGTGGGCCGTGGTCGCCAACTCTCAGATATAATTATGACACCTTGATGGAGTAATTAATTGACCTCTTGTTCAGGTATTTCCTTAGGCGTGTAATCTGAGTAATGTCTTTGATGTATGATGTAGTAATTAATTCATTATACGCTTTTTAATTTGTATATCATGAGTGACTAGAGACAACAGTTCCCATAATGCCTTGTGGAATGTGTTAACACTGTACGCATGCGCACATGTTGGCGACTGACCACCCCTTTATACCTGCACTCTTTACTGTCAACTCTTGACCGCCCGGGGCACCTCCCTCCTATCACTCAGAGGAGACCATCCCCGATGAACCTCAGCCGCCTCCACCAGCAGCCCCGGAACAGCCGCCTCCACCCGCAGCCCCGGAACAGCCGCCTCCACCTGTAGTCCCAGAACAGCCGTCTCCACCCGCAGCCCCGGAACAGCCGCCACCACCCGCAGCCCCGGAACAGCCGCCTCCACCTGTAGTCCCAGAACAGCCACCTCCACAGCCCCCACCACAGCCGAGACCTCCACCGCGGCGCCAACGACCAGCTGGCACTAATACCGGAGGTCCTGGGGCACAACAGGGTGGCGAGGAATCAACACCAGGTACTCGAGGAAGGAAGAACCGAGAAAGTCGAGTTTTCGTGCAAACTACAAAGTTTCGTTTGGGCACAAAAGCTGCACTATAACACATTGGCTGAAGCCCCACCGCGCACAAGAGGCGCTCCTCCAATGAGAACGCAGATTTCAATGAAACAAAACTTGGAAGCTTGAGAACAAAAACTCGTCTTTGAATTGTGTGTGTTGCAAGCGCCTCCATCTCTGTTCTCTACCGCCCGCCCTCGTGGCACCTCAAGAAAACTTAACTAACACGGCTCGCAGCTTGCCAAGACATGCTTCATCTTTTGCTTGACTGTCTGTCTGTGTGTGTCTGTCATATCTCTCCTCTAGCTTGGTGGGAGTCTGTCCACACACTCAGGCTTGGTCTGGACAAGGAGTGTATATATATATGGGAGCAACACCATCGATCACGTCAACAGCTATTGGGAAACTCACGTATATTACAAGCAGCATTTTCTCCTCTATTTAACCCTGTAGATTAACATACTTAACACACCGCAACTAACATAATTTTTAAGTTTATGTTAAAGTGTTCACCATCCTCCGTAACTAGACTATTTCCATCACAAGTAGAACCTATTTAACAATAATTAACATACTACATCAGGCTCTCACAAACCCCATATGTTACAGCTAAATCTTGGGCACTGGCACTAGATATCACCTGGCACTGGTTATCAAATTAAGTGTAAACAATGGGCATTGGCACTTAAGTATCACCAATCAGTAGCACTTAAGCATTAACAATCACTAGGACTCAAGAATCACCAATCACCAGCACTCAAATGTCACCCAATCACTAGCACTCAAGAATCACCAATCACCAGCACTCAAATGTCACCCAATCACTAGCACTCAAGAATCACCAATCACCAGCACTCAAATGTCACCCAATCACTAGCACTCAAGAATCACCAATCACCAGCACTCAAATGTCACCCACTCACTAGCACTCAAGAATCACCAATCACCAGCACTAAAATGTCACCCAATCACTAGCACTCAAGAATCACCAATCACCACTCATACTGATCACCAAGTATCACCACTCTCACGCCAGCTGAATTACCACCACCCCCCGTATTATTTGTGTCAGCAATGAGTGAATCTTGTACAGTACGTGTACTTTCTGTAGTCTGTCGCTGCCTTGAACCAGAGCACAAGTTTGGGTTCACTGGTTGAGAGAAACAATGAACTAAGGACAGTATCAGTGAACTTAAGGACAGTATCAGTGAACTAAGGACAGTATCAGTGAACTAAGGACAGTAACAATGAACTAAGGACAGTAACAATGAACTAAGGACAGTATCAGTGAACTAAGGACAGTATCAGTGAACTAAGGACAGTATCAATGAACTAAGGACAGTATCTAAGGACAGTGAACTAAGGACAGTATCAATGAACTAAGGACAGTATCAATGAACTAAGGACAGTATCAGTGAACTAAGGACAGTATCAGTGAACTAAGGACAGTATCAGTGAACTAAGGACAGTATCAGTGAACTAAGGACAGTATCAGTGAACTAATGAACTAAGGACAGTATCAGTGAACTAAGGACAGTAACAATGAACTAAGGACAGTAACAATGAACTAAGGACAGTATCAGTGAACTAAGGACAGTAACAGTGAACTAAGGACAGTATCAGTGAACTAAGGACAGTAACAATGAACTAAGGACAGTAACTAAACTAAGGACAGTATCAGTGAACTAAGGACAGTAACAGTGAACTAAGGACAGTAACAGTGAACTAAGGACAGTAACTAAACTAAAGACAGTATCAGTGAATCTAGCGCCCAGTATACTATAGTTGCTTTGCCTAAAATTCCTGGGAGTAAAATATTGATTGAAAATAACAATAATTCCATTCAGTTTAAATCGGAATTACTGTGATACTCTATTTAACGAACTATATAGAGAATAAAGTCCGTTATCTCGAGGGTCATTTGGATGTGATACCTCTATTTAACGGGCTATATGGGGAGGAAAGTCCGTTATCTCAAGGGTCATTTACATGTGATACCTCTATTTAACGAACTATATAGAGAATAAAGTCCGTTATCTCGAGGGTCATTTAGATGTGATACCTCTATTTAACGGACTATATGGGGAGGAAAGTCCGTTATCTCAAGGGTCATTTAGATGTCATACCTCTATTTAACGAACTATATAGAGAATAAAGTCCGTTATCTCGAGGGTCATTTAGATGTGAAAATCCCAACTAAAGGATCATATGGAGAGAGAAGTCCGCTATATGGAGGTTTACTGATTTTAACCCTTTGATGACGTTTTAACCCTTTAACGACTATAATTTAACCCTTTGATGACTATGGTTTAACCCTTTGATGACGGTGATTTAACCCTCTAAGACTCTAAGGGTTTAAACACTGAAGAAAAATAACCCAAGCTTTATACTATTATTTTGTATAAACACTTTCTTTCTGTATTGCTTCGCTTTACTTAATAATTCAGCTTTAATTAATTGTATTCTTTAATTATTCCTGATTCAGTAAATATATATATATATATATATATATATATATATATATATATATATATATATATATATATATATATATATATATATATATATATATATATATATATGCAAGTAAATCACTGTAGGTGCGTGATTCAGGTATATGCTGATAACCACAAGGAAAGAATCCCCATTCGTGTAATTCACATCTTCAGGGTGAGTAGTCTGTACTCACCCTGGCATATATATATATATATATATATATATATATATATATATATATATATATATATATATATATATATCCTGACTCACAATTAATTATATATACAAATTATCCGTGACTAACACATCATTATATTCTAAAACTATTTCTGATTCACAGTTTATTATGTTACAAAATTAGTCTTGATTCATAATTAATTAAATAAAATTATTTCTATTTCATATTCAATTATATTCTAAATTATTCATCATTAACAAATAATTATATTACGAAATAATTCCTAACTCACATTAATTATATTCCTAAATTATTCCTGATTCATAATTCCACTTTTATCTAATCTATATAATTCCCTCCGGTATATAACTCAGCATTTGTTTAAATTTCAACGTGTTATTACTCATTTCACTCCTTAATGACAGCTAATTATGAGTTATTAAGGCCACATCCCTACAGTAATTACTCCTCAGTGATTCTTGATTCAAAATTCAACTTAATCTTCTCTAGGTTGATAAATCCCATTGACCTAACCTAACATAAGCTAAAATAACCTAACCTAACCTAGCCTCACACTCCCAGCAGAACTGTGTGACTTCGACAGCAGCCCCAACGAGAACCTATGTGACTGGACCAACCTGAAGGTGACGCAGCTACAGTGGCAGGCGTCCGTTGGCAAAAACACCTTCTGGCTAGGTGGCCCCAAGGAAGATGTATCCTATGGCGACGACCTCGGTGAGTGACATCATGTTATGGCAACCTTGTGTCTGGAGTATGGCAACGATTTGGTTAAGTTTACAATATGGCAACTTTGTGGGTGGGTAGAAGGGGTCGTACTATGGCAATTATTTAAGGTTACAATATGGCAACGATTAGGTTAAGCATACAATATGACATCCTTGATACACTTCACCAAGACTTCAAATCCTTAGGTTTAGTTTAGTTTAGGTTAGGTTCCAATACAGCAAGCTTGAAAGTCACTTATATTCGTCAAATGAACCATAAACCTCACATGACCTATTTGCGAAACGTTTTGACCTAATGTGACCTGTGTTTGAACCGACAGGAGGATACGCGATGTTCGAGACCTCACAGATCCCACAGAGGAACACCGGGCAACCTACCTTCGAGTCAGCCATGTTGATGTCCCCCGTGAAGGAGTCTACAGGCCCCGCCGGCGTGTGTGTTAAGTTCTGGTGAGTTGGTGGACTACTGGAGGAATGAGGAGGAGTAGGAGGGGGTTGCTATGGTACAAATGACTAATTAAATCATCCCCATCCATCATACTAAAACTAACTTGTCTCCATCACACGACCCTTGACATCTAAACCACCAACTACTAACAATGATTTGTGTTTCCCCCTCAGGTACTCGATCGCCGGCCTCAGCCCTGACCGCCTCCGTGTTCTGCTCCACACTTTGGCCGACAACACGAGCCTAACTGACCCCGTGGACCAGATGATGGTTGGTTATGACGGCAGCGAGGACGTGGTGCTGTGGGAGGCGAGAGACATGACCATGGGCGAGTGGAAGGAAGGTCAGGTCGTCTACACCTTCGACAAGAAACACTCGGTAATTAACTTAAGTGAAATATAACCTGATATGCCCTAACCTAACCTAAAGTTATCTAACTTAATATGACCTGACCTCACCTAAACTAAATATGACCTAACCTAATCTTACCTGACCTAACCCACTTTAACTTAACCAAGCTAAATATGACCTGACTTAACCTAACCTGATCAAATCTAACATGACCTGACCTAATTTAACCTAACTAAACTAGCATAACCTGACCTAACCTATCATGACCTAACCTAACTTAATCTGACCTAACCTAACTTAATCTGACCTAACCTAACCTAACCTGGCCATGACATAACCTAACATAACCAGATTTACCCTGCCTTGTCCTAACCTTACATGACCAGACCTAACCTACAGTAATACGACCAGACATAACTTAACCTAACCTACTATATCATACCTAACCTAACCTAACCCACCCTAACCCCACTAGCCTGACCCAACGTACTCTAATCTAACACAACTTACCCTAACCTAACGTAATAATTTGACCTAACCTAAGCAACCCTAACCTTGACATAACCTAACCAGCCTCACCTTAATCTATATGTGATCTACCTTGAGTTAATCCAACAATTCCTCAACCCCCCCCAATCCCCCTGCCATCCTATCCTACACAGCCAATAGCCCCTCAATCCTGTCCCTTCTCCCGGCATCCTACACAGTAATTAACATCCTGCCGTGTCCTCAGGTAATCTTCGAGGGCATCCCAGTAGACAGCAGTGCCCTCAGTCGTAGGTTCCGTGGCTACATCGCCTTGGATGAGCTGACCTTCGCTGAATCAAGTCAGTGTGGCGCCTTCTGTACCTTCGAGGGCGGCACCTGTGGTTGGACTCAGGACGCTAATGACGACTTCGACTGGACGCAGGTGGGTGTTGTCCAGCCCATGCGACCCTATTTTCATCCATCTTCACGCCTTAGAGGTTCTTCTTCTCCTCACCATTACCATTAAACATCGCAATTATTGAGTTGAGGCAGCCTAAAATTAAAACATTCCAATGAGAACTCTAATAAAGACATTGTTACCATTACCCATTATTAATCATACACCTTACACCTTTAACCCTTAGATACCCTACTTAACATACCCCTGAACACCCTCCTTTTAACCCTTAGAAGCCCCTTTTACCCCCCTTTACAACAGCCCCTTTGTCTCCCCTTTCATCTCTTTAAAAAACCATCTCACCATATCCTTAAAAATCACCCTCTTTGGCTCCATCATTACAGAGTCGAGGCAGCCTAAACCCATCAACAGGACCACCCCGAGACCGCTCCTCCTTCGCCAACGACGGGAAGATGGGAGGGTACGCCTTCATCAACTCCGGCTACCCCAGGAGGCCAGGAGACAGGGCCAGACTCATGAGCCAGGAGTTCCAGGGCACCAGTCAGTAATCTATTGTCGTGTTACTGTCCCCTCATGTTTCGTTTCTCAGTCGTGTTATGAGGAGGTATCGTAAGGGGACTTATAGTGAGGTATTGTAGGGGGTATTTAATAATTAGGGACTTGTAAGGAGGAGGTATTGTAGGGGTGCCTTATAAAAAAAACAGGAGTTACTGTAGGGGGCATTTATAGTTAGGAAGTATCGTAAAGGGTACTGTGTAAGGGAGACCAGTGTGGAAGTATCGCAAGAGGTATATACAGTGTTAAGGGACTTCCACACCCCCTACATTAATCCATTCCTTACCCCACCCCTTACATCAAAAACTCTTCCTTCCACCACTAACCCACACCTTCCATCTCACCCAAAACAGACCCAGATAGTCCCCTGTGCATGCGCTTCTGGACCCACATGTTCGGCAACGGGATCGGTACCTTACGTGTCATCATCTACGACGTGAACACCGCCAAAGATAAAGTCATCTGGCAGATATCGGGCGAGGCTGGCAATGCTTGGTACCAGGGCCAGGTGCCTATAGCGTCACCCTCCCCCTTCAAGGTACCACCAGACTCTGTTGAGCTCCCAAGCTTCAAGGTACAGTAGCGAACCCACAAACCTACCCCCTAAAAAAATATATATCCGGAATCGCCACTGCATCAACGAACACACCTTTACCCCTGACCTGACCTGACCTGACCTGGCCTAACCTGGCTTGGCCTCATCTGAAATCCTCTCTTCAATTCCTTTAAACGCAAAAGTAAAATAAGTTGTTTTAGTTTGTAAGTCTGTTAATCAGGAAATTGGTCAGGTATTCAGGAAGTTAGTAAGAAAGTCAGGGAGATAGCAAGTCAGTCTGTCAAGCAGTATGTCAGGAAATCAAGCAGGAAGTCAGTCAATCAGTCTTTCAGGAAGTCAGTCAAGAAATCAGTCGGTTACAGAAGTCAGTTATTCAGGATATCAGTCAGGAAGTTAGTAAGTCAGCCATTTAGTCAGTCAGTTATTATTTAGCCAGTCAGTCAGTTATTATTCAGTCAGTCAGTTAGTAAGGATTATTCACTTATCCTAACCTAACCTTATAACAGGAGGCTGACGAAGGGATTGATAGCAATAAAAGAGGAATGGATATGATGAAGATTAGACACCCCAACTTATTTCACCTCAAGATTAACCACCCTAATACTAACCTAACCTGACCAAACCAAGCCTAGCCTAACCTAACCTTACCTAACCTTACCTTACCTAACCTAACCTAACCCATCCTTAACTTGCCCCCCCCCCCCAGGTAGCGTTACTAGGGTGGTTACTCTTAAGTGAAATAACCAAGGAAGCCAACAATTATTCGTAGGATAGTCAAAGAATAACTAAATATATGAAACAGGTAATTTTTTAAATATAGGTTTATGAAAGTTTAAGAGCAGAGAAAATTCAATTAGTGCAGCATAGAAAACGGGATGAAGGATATAGACAACAGACAGAGAAACTACAGCACCAAGACGGGATGATAAACAAAACAGTATGTAATGCAAATAAGAGTAATTAGAGAATGTATAAAATAAAGCACAAACTGGTAACTCTCACTTAGATACACAGTAAGAACTGTTACAGTATGTGTAGTTTGATATTCATTCACAACTGATGGACAGCAGCGACCCTGGGGGTGTGTCCACACCAACGCAACATTGTGTGAACATTATTGTCAACATCTGGGACAACAGCTGTGAACAATGTTGGCATCAAAGTTGGTAACACGAATGCAACATTGTTGGTAAAAATGTCGACAATAGTCTGGGTAAAGAAGCCAACAATGGTGGAAACAGTCTACACAGGGCGAGTGAGGACGCCTTGATGTGTGGACAGGCAGCGCCGTCGTTGGGTGCCTCCCACACCACTGATACCAACATTTTGCCCACAATGTTCATAATACATGTTGCCAACAACTGTGGCTACATGTTAACAATATTGTTAACACGTGTTACCGACATTGTTGAGGTGGTATGGCTACACCCTCTGAGTCCGGGGGGGGAGGGGGGGGGGGTGTGATGCAGTAAACTCTTACCTTCATTAAGTGAGAGTTACCTGTACATAACTGTTTGCCATTGCACATGTTGGTGATAGCCATGAATAAATCTACTGTTTAATACTTATATCAATATGTGGGTTTGTTTTGGGTATAACGTGGTGATGGTGTTGCCTGCACTTGTAGTTTGAGATGCAGGTGGCGGAGTGGCTGCATGGTGCCTGTGTGCTTCAGCTGCATGGCTCTTACTTTATTATCCACAACAATAATAATTCCTAGTTGTTAAAAAACTATCTTACTTTTTGGCCATAAACCTTTAATAAAAATAATATCAGTACTTAGTTCCTTACTGTAAACTTGACCACTTCTTTGATAACAATATTAACACTAAAATAAATTCTAAAGTAAAATTTTTCCCACAAAGAAATAAATATATAAATAAAAAAACTAAAATTAGTATAATAACTTTTAAGATAAGAAGATAATATTTTTTCTACCTGCTGAACATTACATCTCCTATTGTCTTGTGTTGTAAATATATGACCTTTGGTGAATACGATGACATAAGTGGGTGTAGGTGGGGGCAGCGTCACTGTTGTTTATCTCATGGTCCAGATCGTGTTCGAGGGCGAGGTGGGCCAAAACAACCTGGGCGACATTGCCATCGACGACATCTCCATCGTCCAGGGCCCTTGTCCTAGTGAGTGTCTCTCTGTCATGTTTTATTAAGTTGACCAGTGAAGGGTAGCATCATACGTGTGTGTTTCCCTGTATATACAATAACTAACACACCTACATCACCACCTCCTCCTCCAGGCGCCCCCCAGGTAGCAGCAGACAAGAGTGGAGACTGTACCTTCGAGGTGGATGAGTGTGGGTGGAACAGTCCAGGCCCCCGGGAGAGGTTAGATGAGATTGACTGGGTGAGGACGGTGGCCGCCGACAACCGCTCCCCCACCAGGGACCACACCATCGGTACCCTGCAAGGTCAGCATCCCTTATCCTTCCTCAATCTATCAAAATGTAGAGCAATTTTCGATTTTTTTTCCTGAGTTATAGGCACTTGTTGTCGTCACCCCACAAGGTCAGCATCCCCCGATCTTCATCAAACTATCAAAAATGTTGAGTTATATTCGACTTATTTTTTTCTTCTTCAGTTTTATCCACTCCGTTTTTTACTACTTTGTTCTTCCTCAAGTCACAAGAATGGAGAGCAATTTGTTACTTATTTTCTATCAATGTTGGCCACTCTTTGTTGTACTGTACTGGTGTATTGAGGGCGGCGGCCTCTAACACCAGGTCCCCGACGACGACTTCCACCAATGCCCTTTCGCGAACTTGGATCATTTTTACTTTTATTGGTGTTTCAGGAGTTAACAAGCTCAATAGTTCTTCATAAAATTTGGGTCTCAATAAAAACATAAAAGTTAAACAAGTTGAAGAGTAAAACCAAATTAGATGTTTGAAAAAGTCATAGAAATGCGAAAATTTGGGCTCCATCAGATCTTGGGTTGGATGGACTTATGATCAACACGCTACGGAGCTTTTAACAAGTGATGGGAACAAACAAAAGTGATTCGAACTACTGTAGGTTTAACGAATAGAAATTTCGTTATAACCCGAGTTTAATCAATGCTTCAACATGACCCAAGTATAGTCAACGCCTGAAAGTACGTACACGAATTATCCGTTTTCAGAGGGTCGAGATCATTATGATTTGCGAAGAACCGAGAATATCAGGAATTTGAGAATGTGTGAGGATTAAAACCATCTTAGATTTAAGTTTTTTTTTTTTTTAGTGATTGGAGATATGTGATACGACCTATGGTTTAATAAGGTTTAATACGATAGTGGTTTAGGTGATATTTTAATAGGTATAACGAGGCTTAAACTATAGCCATCCAGCAACTTGTTTGGACAATACTGACGGGGAAAGGGAGGTGTTGGGGGGAGGTAGAGGGAGAATAGTTCCTTAATATCTTTCAAACTATTCAAATACCTTTAATTATTCATACATTACTCTATTACCATGGGGGAGGGGGCAATAGGTAGTTCCTCTCACCACCACGGACCATTATCGTACGTGTGGCAGCGAGAGGTGCAGCTAAAACTCTCTTTCACCGGGACGATATTGACGTTTGTGTCAGCCCGTCCTGCTAACATAAATCATAGCTTTAATCTTTATAAAATGTGTGTGAAAATGATGCGGTGGTGTGGCTCCCCCCTCTCACTCTCTCTAGCTCCTCTCTCTCTTTAGCTCCTCTCTCTCTCTCTCTCTCTCTAGCTTCTTTCTCACTCGCTTCTCCTCTCTCTCTCGCTCTCTCTCTCTTTAGCTTCTTTCTCACCTCTAGCTCATCTCTCTCAGCTCTCTCTCTCTCTCCTCTCTCTAGCTTCTTTCTCACTCCTCTCTCTCTCTCTCTCTCTCTCTCTCTCTCACTCTCTCTAGCTTCTTTCTCACTCTCTAGCTCATCTCTCTCTTTCTAGCACCTCTCTCTCGTTAGCTCCTCTCTTTCTTTAGTTCTTCTCTCTCTAGCTTCTTTATCTCTCTCTAGCTGCTCTCTCTCTTTAGCTCCTCTTTCTAGCTCCCCACCTCTTATCTCTGTCTCTTTAGCTTCTCTCCTCACATTCTATACCTTTCTAGTTGTCTTAACGTATTGATCTTCAAGAGAACTGGACAAACTCTGCGGCACACCAGTCCATATTTTGTGTTTATTTCGGGTGTAAAAACCAAATCCTTAGCTATATCAATAACAGCTCTCGCGTGTAAGAAACGCGGGTGAGGTTAGGAAGAACAGGTGTTATTTTTATCAGCACGAAGGACAGTTTTTTGTTATGTAATGGTCGTTTACTAGTCGTTACAACAACAACCTGTAGTGTGACTATTATACCAACAGGATTATAATATAAACAAAAGCAATAACAACATTTTCAGGATTGCAAGTCAAAATAATTATATATATATATATATATATATATATATATATATATATATATATATATATATATATATATATATATACAGGTAATATGTATGTATGTATGCATTATTACTATTATTATTATCATTACCTTTATATTGATAATAATAATAATATGTATAATAATAATAATAAAAATAATAATAATAATAATAATAATAATAATAATAATAATAATAATAATAATAATAATAATAATAATAATAATAATAATAATATCTTACAATTCGGGACTCAAATTCCAGTATAAAAAAATAAAATAAATAAAATAAAAATGCCGGCCCTTCTACCAGAAAAGTTAATTCAAGGAGTGATCAGTGTAGCCAACACAAACACTCTACAACACACTTCTCTGGCCACCAACTTGGAGACAATCAACGGTACAAATAACCTTAGCACCTGGAGCACCCAAAACAAACACAACCTCAGGATAGACAGACATATATACAACACTGATAAATTTAGACACATATACAAACAGAGACTTTGTTGACATTTTAGTATGAATATTGTGAAGAACTCGACATCATCATCATCCTTCAACCTGGGGCTGACTTACCGAAAAATACTATTTTAAGTCTTCATAGATACGAGAGACTACAATACAGTTAATATATACTACTGGAGTTTATTTTCCCCAATTTTGCAAAAGGTTTCGTACGAGTGTCCCACATACAACAGCGAATGATTTTAATGGCATAAAAAATAAAATACAACAATATCAGTAAATAGAGTAATGGATAAAAATCATATACACGAAAAAAAATAAATCTACCACAAGATATAATAATAATATACTATACCATTTCGTTCTCTCAATAGCTATGGGTTAACCTTAATCTAGGACCAATAACCGTAATCTGGGTTAATCTTAATCTAGAACCAATAACCGTAATCTGGGTTAATCATAATCTAGGACCAACAACCGTAATCTAGTTTAACTTTAATCTAGTCCCTTCCAATCATATGTTCTCCCTTTTCACGTAATCGCAAAGTAGTGACATTATTTTTTTTTTAGCCTAGTCCCACCTTAATACACCCATGACGTTTTCTATGATGACTTTAGGGTATAATCCTTTCACTATCAAGAGCGTACATCACACCTTAGCCCCGTTTCTGCATTTCTGTCTGCCCCTTTCAACATAATGTCAGCTCCTTTCAACACATTATCAGTCCCTTTATGTAGCGTAAACCCGTCCCTTTTCAACATAACTGTCAGCCCCTTTCAACAATATATCAGTTCCTTTCTGTAGCGTAGACCCGTCCCTTTTCAATATAGCCGGCCCCCTCTCGTGTATACCCGTAGCACTAGAGTACCGCCCATCTTAGCTTTTAACTTGACGTCACCTCCACCGGAAACTAACACCCAATGTCTCCCGGCATAGGATCAGCCGCCCACAGCGCCACTGCACAAGACCATGGCAAGTGATTCTACACGGTTTTCGCACCACACAGCTGCCTACGCCCCCACAGTACCCTTAGTGTTATTCCTAGTGGGTGATCAAATGGGCCCCAGTGCTAACAGGCCCTTAACCTAATCATCAGTATCGGGGATCCAGTTCTAATAGGCCCCTAATCTAACCCTAATCATCAGGATAGGGGCCCAGTTCTTATGGTTAGGGTAGGTTGAAGCCTATTAGTACCGGGGCCCCATTTTATCTCTTATATTAAATAGTTTCCTACACTGTATCCTATTTTCGGATCACGTGAAGATTAGACACTCCAGCGTATTTCACCTGATGATTAAAGACCCTAACCTAACCTAACCTAACCACTTAACCCCCCAGTTAGCTTTAGGGTGTTTAAACATCAGGAGAAATAAGCTGGGGTGCCTAATCTTCACGTCATCCTCACTATCTTTTATTTATTGCTTCACATTTGTTTCTCTATCACGTATTTGCAAGTTTATGAAATCTTTTATATAATCTCGCTTTATTTACCTTTTTTAGCTTTTTTTTTACCTCTGTTATTTTTTTTACGTAGATTTTAGTTCCACGCTTTGCTGCCATGCTCAGTAGAGTTGTCAAGTATTGTTTGTTTTTTAATCACACTTTGAGAACTTTAGTGCATAAGAAAAAGTTAGTATTTAGTTATCACGCTTTGATATCACTCGTGGATAATAACTAACACGGTATTTAGTTATCACGCTTTGATATCCTTTACGATAGAGGTGTTTGGATGAGTTACCATGACACGATGATTCGGTAAAGTCCTGTGTGTTTTTTTTTTAGCTCTGTATATTGTTGATTCTACTAAACTAATCCCAAGAAAAAATACTGTCTTTTGATTGTTAATGGAGGTGTCAATGTTTACTTTAACACTCTTGACATAACTGTTTAACTGTGTTGTTTTGGTTAAGTGAGGCAGACCAGAGAGAGAGCATTAGAGGACTTAGATCATCCTGAAATGAATTAACTTGTACACCGATACACATTACGCTTAGTGTAGGTGTTTGCATGTTTCAGGGGTACTTTCACGCGCACTGACTTCCCATTTACTACCATAGGGTGTTGGTGAGTCGTGATGATGGCGGACGGTACACACAGCTCACCTTATCCAGCTTTGGTCACGATTTGTATTCAGACAAAATCTCACCACCCAATTTGCCACGAGACAAAATTCCATCACAAGAATAATACAAATTTTCATAAGTTTTCGTTGCTAAGTCTTAATATTCTCTTAGGTTATGAGATGGTTATGCAAAACGGGTAAAAGTTTGTTCAATAATATGAAACAGTGGTAAGTTATCCTACGTTGAACTATACAAGACAGTCGGAATTCCATGTTATATCATCGCCAGCTATGACAAAAGGTTCTAGAGCATCTTAAATACATTAAACATTAAAGTATGAAGCGAATTACTGACGAAGATATAATATTGAACTTGGCCAAAATCAGTTCATCATATTGATAGTTAAAGGTGGTCCACATGTAGGAATGGCTGTTTTATTTATTTTTTTTAAGTTACAGCGTAGTGTAGAAAATGTGACATATTAAACAGTGCTTAAGACTCAAGTTGTTGAGGGTTGTCGGCTCCCTTACAATCACAGTAAAAATTATTCATGTATGGTGGCGAAGGATAGAACAGTGTGTCTGCAAGCTTTATAGCTCGGTACAGTATTGTACATATTACTGTTTATATCCTAAAACATTCCAATCTACTTTAACAAACACAGCACTTAAACATTAGTTGGGAGGCCAGGTGGAGGCTGAAACAGCGAGATTAGTTCAAATCTTTGTAAATAAAAGAGTTTACCTTCTACACATTCCCTGTAGTTTTCTCTGGTCACAAGTGTACCTTCTCTGTACATACTGTAGTATACTGTAGTGGCAGTGTAAATGTCTATACAGTAATAGATTACGAATAGTAAGGTTTCTATTAAAGCAATAATACTAATGTTGATTTAATATTCTGGCTCTGAGTAGCCAATATTACATACCGTAAATAATTTCTCATTTTCAGATTACATGTTCTTCAATGAGTTTGGAGTCTAATGTGAAGAATCATAGAATACTGAACTATATTATCGTTATAGCTACATATCAACACATATATTAACTGGTGGAACATATCAATTAAAGTGTCACTACGTTCCCTAACCTTCATAATCATCGCTTTAATAATTAATCATTGTTGACAAAAGTGATTTCCCCACCAGGGTTCTACATGACGTTACCGCGCGGGACAGTGCAGCGAGGCGGCGACCGTTCTTGGTTGGTCTCTAACACCATGAAAGGTTCTGACGACCCTATGTGTGTTGCTTTCTGGTAAGTCGGGGCTCTGATTACCCCATATGTGTTGCTTTCTGCTAAGTCGGGGCTCTGATTACCCCATATGTGTTGCTTTCTGCTAAGTCGGGGCTCTGATTACCCCATATGTGTTGCTTTCTGCTAAGTCGGGGCTCTGATTACCCCATATGTGTTGCTTTCTGGTAAGTCGGGGTTCTGAAGTCATTACCCTATGTGTTGCTTTCATAAGTCGGGGCTCTGATTACCCCATATGTGTTGCTTTCTGTAAGTCGGGGTTCTGACGACCCTATGTGTGTTGTTTTCTGGTAAGTCAAAGGCAATTGATTACACCCCATATGTGTTGCTTTCTGTAAGTCGGGGTCTGATTACCCCATATGTGTTGTTACTTTCTGGTAAGTCGGGGCTCTAATTACTCCCATATGTGTTGCTTTCTGGTAAGTCGGGGCCTGATTAACCCCATATGTGTTGCTTTCTGCAAGTCGGGGCTCTGATTAACTCCCCCATATGTGTTGCTTTCTTGCAAGTCGGGGCTCTGATTACCCCATATGTGAGTTGCTTCCAATTTAATAATATCAATTCCATAACACTAATTTTACTTCACTGAAGGCTGACCTATAAGAGTACTTTTAACACCTTCAGTAGTACACACCCCAAGGCTGACCTATAAGGAGGCCTCTTAACACCTTCAGTAGTACACCCCAAGGCTGACCTATAAGAGTATTTCCTTTAACACCTTCAGTAGTAATAATTCCTCAAGGCTGACCTATAAGAGTACTTTTAACACCTTCAGTAGTACACCTCAAGGCTGACCTATAAGAGTACTTTTAACACCTTTAGTAGTACACCCCAAGGCTGACCTATAAGAGTACTTTTAACACCTTCAGTAGTACACCTCAAGGCCGTCACATCCCCACAATGACCTTACCTCAGGGGTTTAGTGCCTACAGTATCTCTTTATCAACCGTATCTACAGTATCAAACGTCCTTATCTTCCTTAAGCATCACTTACCATCACTACTCATCATCACCTTTACCCTCCATACATAAGTTGCATTAAGTCTTTTGTGTATAAACTTTTCTCTTTGTTTATGTCTCCCACTACGGCGCGTGTGTCTTACCTAATCGGTCTTGCCCTTCGCTTCAGCTGTTTCATATAATTGCCCTTCAATCTCATCAATGACCTTGCCCTTCGCTACAGGTGATACAGAACACAGTACAACTCCTGACAAAATAACTCAACACCTTATTCGCCTTCACCTTGTTACCTCCTCCTTCAAGCACTTCATCACCCCTTCAGGAGACTCACTAGGTCATCCTCCCTCTCCTTCAGGTATTTCATGTACGAATCCTTCATCACCCCTTCAGGAGACTCACTAGGTCATCCTCCCTCTCCTTCAGGTATTTCATGTACGAGTCCTTCATCACCCCTTCAGGAGACTCACTAGGTCATCCTCCCTCTCCTTCAGGTATTTCATGTACGAGCCATTCATCGACCCGTCAGGACCCTCGCTAGGATCACTGCTGGTGTACACACGCTACGAGAACGAAGACGGTGAGTTCGTACTACAGCCGGTGTGGTCTCTCAAGAACCATCAAGGACCCAACTGGATGTACGGCCAAGCTAAAGTCCAGAACAAGAATGATTATACGGTGAGGAGTCTTGAATTATACACACATCTCTATCATTAATTATACACACAGCTCTATCAGTAATTATACACACATCTCTATCAGTAATTATACACACATCTCTATCAGTAATTATACACACAGCTCTATCAGTAATTATACACACATCTCTATCAGTAATTATACACACATCTCTATCATTAATTATACACACATCTCTATCATTAATTATACACACAGCTCTATCAGTAATTATACACACATCTCTATCAGTAATTATACACACAGCTCTATCATTAATTATACACACAGCTCTATCATCAATTATACACACAGCTCTATCATTAATTATACACACAGCTCTATCATTAATTAATACACACATCTCTATCAGTAATTATACACACAGCTCTATCATTAATTATACACACAGCTCTATCATTAATTAATACACACATCTCTATCAGTAATTATACACACAGCTCTATCAGTAATTATACACACATCTCTATCAGTAATTATACACACAGCTCTATCATTAATTATACACACAGCTCTATCATTAATTATTACACACATGTTCGAGGGTGTGTGGAGGGTATAGTTACTAAAGTGTGTTGTGGTGCAGGTGGTGTTCGAGGGTGTGGTTACTAAAGTGTGTTGTGGTGCAGATGGTGTTCGAGGGTGTGGTTACTAAAGTGTGTTGTGGTGCAGGTGGTGTTCGAGGGAGTGGTTACTAAAGTGTGTTGTGGTGCAGGTGGTGTTCGAGGGTGTGGTTACTAAAGTGTGTTGTGGTGCAGGTGGTGTTCGAGGGAGTGGTTACTAAAGTGTGTTGTGGTGCAGGTGGTGTTCGAGGGAGTGGTTACTAAAGTGTGTTGTGGTGCAGGTGGTGTTCGAGGGAGTGTGGGGCAGCAGCCGAGGTAACGGGTTCATGGCTCTGGATGACATCACTCTCTTCGCCGGCGGCTGCTCCAGTAAGTACCGACACTTCCCTTCTCACCCTGAGTACTGACACTTCCCTCCTCACCCTGAGTACTGACACTTCCCTCCTCACCCTGAGTACTGACACTTCCCTCCTCACTCTGAGTACTGACACTTCCCTCCACACCCTGAGTACTGACACTTCCCTTCTCACCCTGAGTACTGACACTTCCCTCCTCACCCTGAGTACTGACACTTCCCTTCTCACTCTGAGTACTGACACTTCCCTCCTCACCCTGAGTACTGACACTTCCCTCCTCATCCTGAGTACTGACACTTCCCTCGTCACCCTGAGTACTAACACTTCCATCCTCACCCCGTCACTGAGTACTAGTATTTCCTTCTCTTCCCCACTAGAACCCCGACACTGAGTACTAGCACTTCCCTTCTTCTGTAAAACTTGTCACTAAGTACTAGCACTTCCCCTTTCCACTAGAACCTTGTCACTGAGTACTGGCACTTTCCTCCTCCTGTAGAACCTTGTCACTGAGTACTTGCAATCCCCTCCAGCTGTAAAACACTGGCACCGTAGCGGGAGAAACTACACTAAGATGTACGGAAAGGTTTTAATCCACACACTGATCGTCTCTCACTCCTTCCTCGCCCCCCACAAAAGCCAAGCCGGCGAAGGCGATGACGACGGGCGGGGACTGCGACTTCCAGCGTGACGCCTGCCTGTGGAAGAACGTCACCACCGACAGTGACTTCCGCTGGACCACCGCCTCCATCTCCCGCCGCCCTGCCAACCTCCCTGACCACACCTTCAGCGGCCCAAGTGAGTCTCTCTCTCTCTCTCTCTCTCTCTCTCTCTCTCTCTCTCTCTCTCTCTCTCTCCTTCGTACCGTCCTTCGGTGACTATTACGAGTATCATTCAACAGTACATGAATTTCTTCCACATCCGACATAAATTTGAGACTTTATGTTAAATATGGAACAAATTGTTTTTAATCTCATCGTCAAGTAATAATAAGGTTATTTTTTTTTACTTTCTCGCCGTTGCTGGCTAGAGAAGTGTGCTCCAGTAACGACTATCTTATATCAATTTTTATCGCAATCGAAAGTTAATTGATTAACGTCGTGCCCATAAACATCCTAAACCTATCCCTAGCATCTGAGCACACACACACACACACACACACAGCCTCCTCTCACCACACCTCAACTCCACCCCCCTCCTCCAACAGTCGGTTACGCCTACTTCGACGTCTTCAACCAGAACGCGAGACCCCAGAGCCTAGGCCTACACTCCCCGCCGATGGACAAGAGCGCCGACAACTCCCCCATCTGCCTCACCTTCTGGTACGCCTACTTCGGCGCCAGTGAGAGCACCATACTCAAGATATCCAGGGAACCGTACAACAAGGAGGTGGCGGAGGGCGAGAGGGTTGGCGAACCTGTGGAGGTGAGTGATGTACAGTGTGGGACCAGCTGGTTGTTGTATACAGGTGCTGTGGTTGTTAAAGAGTTATTATTGCGGTTGAATAAAGACTCGAAATTGTTGCTGGTTTGGGTTGAATTGACGAGACTCGCTGCGGTTGACTGAAAGGACTTGAACAATAAAGGAGACAGTGTTTCAGAGGGACATTTTGCTGGAAACTACAGGAAGGTGAACTATGTGGTGTAGTTAATGTGACAATAGTGGTGGTGTAGGTTGAGGTGACGTAGGTGGTGGTGCTGGTAATGGTGGTATATGTGGTGGTGTGTGTGGAGGTGGTGTAGGTGGTGGTGGTAATGGTGGCGTAGGTGGAGGTGATGGAGGCGTAGGTGGTGGTAGTGATGCTCAGGTACAGTGGGTTTGCGGCATAGATGGTAAGATAGTGAGGATTGTGGTACGTAGGTAGAGGTAGTAGTAGTAGAAGTAGTAGTAGTAGTAGTAGTAGTAGTAGTAGTAGTAGTAGTAGTAGTAGTAGTAGTAGTAGTAGTAGTAGTAGTAGTAGTAGTAGTAGTGCCAGCAAGTCCTTCCTCATTGTGAAGCCAGAACATTATGAACGGGCAATGGAGGTGTTCGGTGGAAGTGAGGTCAAAATAGCAAAGGACGGCCAAAGACACCTAGACGCAGTAATCGGCACGACGGACTTCAAGACCGAGTACGTAATGGGGGAGGTGAATGAGTGGGTTAGGGAAATCCAAGCTCTGTCTGATATTGCTAACACAGAGCCACATGCGGCTTTTGCGGCTTTCACCCATGGAGTCAAGCAACGCTGGATCTACCTGATGCGCACTATCCCTGATATCGGACCCCTGCTCCACCCTCTGGAAGAAGCTATCAGCGTCAATTTCATTCCCAAATTAGTGAAACATCTTCACTTAACCCCAGCTAAAAGATCACTCCTTGCACTACCGCCGAGACTGGGAGGAATGGGATTGACCAATGCACAGGAGATTGCTGCCACCTAACATCAAAACTCAGTTAAGCTCAATGACCACATAATAGCTCAGAACGCAACAGGTGAAGTGGATACCAGCGAAGTAAACAAGATTCGACGGTCCATTACGACAGAACGACAGCACGGCCAAAGTGATAAGTTGCAGCAACTGATGCTGCAGGTACCAGAGAATTTGAAAAAAAGAAAGTAGCTATAGTGCAGGAGGTGGGCGCCTCGAACTGGTTAACTACGTTACCAATAAGGGCAAATGGTTTCAGTCTTAACAAACAAGAATTTACAGATGCCATTACTCTAAGGTAAGGTAGGCCAGTAGAAGGTTTGCCCTCCCAATGCGTGTGTGGCTCTTCCTATGACGTTGATCACGCCATGGTGTGCAAGAAAGGGGGCTTCATATGCATGAGGCATGACGAAGTAAGGGATCTCACAGCAAATATGTTGAAGGAAATCTGTCGTGATGTCATGGTAGAACCGACCCTCCTTCCATTGGACAGGGAGAATTTCCAACATAGGACTTCAAACACATCCAACAGAGCCCGTGTTGACGTCAGTGCTCGAGGATTCTGGACGTGGGGACAGCAAGCCTTCTTCGACAGCAGGATTTTTTATCCCATGGCCGCATGTCACCGTAACTTAGCTCTCGATGCTGCACACAGGAGGAACGAGAACGACAAGACCAGGGCATACTGGGAGAGAATTCAGAACGTTGATCAAGGCAGCTTCACTCCTCTGGTGTTCACAACCTCTGGTGGGATGGGACCAAATGCAAGATGCTTCTATGCCAGACTCGCGGAGGTGCTATCCGAACAGAAGCAGCAGCCCAGAAGTTATGTTACAGCCTGGATGAGATGTCGACTGTCCTCTCTCTTTAGGTCTGCTTTTCTCTGCCTCAGGGGAACGAGAGCATCGGCCTCAAAGCCGACAACAGTTGCAGATATTGACTATGAGGCAACAGTCACTGAATGCCGCATAGATCTGCGGCTCAACTAACTCAACACAGCTAGGGTAGCTACTTATGTATTAGGATATTTAATTTTAAGGTAACAAAATGGCGGCGAAGGTGTGGCTATTGGGGGAGGCTGGAGGCGACGTAGAAGTAGTAGTGATAATAGCGATAGGAAAGGGTATAATACTCGGTGGTGGTAATGAAGGAGTATCACAGAAGACCTTGTGGACATGATAACGAGAACAGGTATAGACTGACATACCCGTATAGCTATTAGCCTCTCACCTGGAAAAAAAATAAAAAAAATAATAAAGATAAAAATAATAACTACAACAATAAATACAATTAGCCTAAAAAAAAACCCTAACTACCCTAACTCTACCTTCCCCGCCCTGGTCAGCTGTGGGTCCTGGAGGCGAGCAACATAGGGACCCGGCGACCTGAGTGGCAGTTCGGGCAGGTGGAGGTGGACGCTTCATCAGACTACCGTGTGTCCATCGTCGGTATGGCCAGCAATGGAGGCTTTGCTATCGATGACATTAAGACCTACATGGGCTCCTGCGGCAGTAAGTTTGTCTCTCTGACCCTCCCTCTCTCCCTCCCTCCCTCTCTCTCTCCCTCCCTCCCTCTCTCCTCCTCCTCCCCTCCTCCCTCTCCCTCTCTCCCTCCTCCCTCCTCCCCCTCTCTCTCCTTTTTGTTTATTATAAGGAGTCATTTGTATTACGGAGTTATTGATATTTAGGATTTATTAATATTGGGGGATTTATTAGTATTTAGGGATTTATTGGTATTTAGGGATTTATTAATATTTCGGGATTTCTTGGTATTTAAGGATTTAGTAATATTTAGGAATTTATTAATACTGTATTGGGGGATTTAATAGTATTTAGGGATTTATTAATATTTAGGGATTTATTGATATTTAGAGATTTATTAATATATACATATATTTTATTTTTTACCACTTCCATTCCAGTTCGTCCCGCTGAGGCCAACCCAACCACTACCACGGCAGCGGAACAGCCAGCAGCCACCGAGGTGTAAATACAGTGAAGGAAGTGGGCTGTGAGGGTGTGGGTGGGTGTCTGGTAGGTGTAAACTGGTGTCAAGTGTTGGCGCCACGAACCAATCAGCATCAGGTTAAGGTGCTCCCAACCAATCAGCACCAAGAGGCCACCACCAGCCAATCACCACCAAGGAAAGACGCCACCAGACAATCACCACCAAGGAAAGACGCCACCAGCCAATCACCACCAAGGAAAGACGCCACCAGCCAATCACCGTCCACCTATATATACCCTTCACCCTAAAAATGTTGTGTTTACACCTGAACCAAGACAATTCTTAACTTGTGAAGAAGAAAGAGAAGAAACTTATTGAAAACTATCAGTAAGTTTTTGTCTTCTTCAAAACAGCACAGGGTCCAGATCCTTGAAGATACGTACGCTAAAAATATTCCCTTGTCACTGGGATAATATAATATAAAACTTCTATTTAACGGACAATATAGAGGGGAAAGTCTGTTATTTCTAGGGTATGTTAAATATGAAATCTCCATCTAACGAACTATATTGAGATGAAAGTCCGTTATATCGAGGGTCTGTTATATACGAAACCCACATATTTAACGGATTATATATAGAGAAGTCCGTTATATAGAGGTTTTACTGTAGTTACGATAAAATCCCACTTCAATCTCTTTCTTAAGTCATCAGGGTATCGTAAGGGCGTTAGGCTAATGAGGTAAAACAGGAATAATTACCGTACGATTTTTCAAGACTTAACCTTTGTATCGTAGGTTAAGTGAGCAAAGGTAGATGCATTCTCTCATCATCAGGTAGAGAGAATACACACCTATACTGATCTTAATTAATTATTCACCTGCTGTAAACTAAATACTGTAGGTATCAATTAAAAGCTTTATTTCACCTCAGTTATTACCAACCAAAGATTAACTTGTACAATTACATATATGTCTTTTGTTAATACAGCACGATTGAAAAAAATGCATCTTCAATAATTCACAAAGTATTATTTACTTTCTATTGACGGGGCATATATTTAATCTAAGTAGAACAGGGTATATAATAATGTAGATATAACAGGTAATTATTATATCGTTCATTAATTACAGGTGGACAGGTAATTTTCCACTACGCTATGTTCTACAGTATAGGTTTGACAAGAATGGCATTAGTGAGTAGAGGAGACCTGAAGGTTCTATCAGTACATCACCTCCAGTTGACTATAATGAACGTACTAGCTAGGGGACATAGGGGGGTACAGGGGGATTATATGGGGGGCAAAGGGGAAGAAGAGAGAACACAGGGGAACAAAGAATAGACAGAGGGAACACAGGAGGACATAGGGAACACAAGAGAACACAGGGCACAGAACACAAGGGGGCCTCAGAAGAACATAACCTAACCTAAACTAAACCTAACCTAACCTAGTGTACGAAGTTAATGTCACAATATAAGCAATAATATACATAGAGTTAAAACACACACACACACACACACACACACACACACACACACACACACACACACACTGTATAACCTTCTGTATACAAAGATCTATATATTTTCACAAAGTTAATCTAGTTGACGAGTGAGTGATTGAACTAAACACCACGTGACTGAACTATACACCGAGTGATTGAACTATACACCAAGTGACTGAACTATACACCAAGTTACTGAATTATACACCAAGTTACTGAATTATACATCAAGTTACTGAACTATACACCACGTGACTGAACTATACACCAAGTTACTGAACTATACACCACGTGCTTGAACTATACACCACGTGATTGAACTATACACCACGTGACTGAACTATACACCGAGTGATTGAACTATACACCACGTGACTGAACTATACACCACGTGATTGAACTATACACCACGTGATTGACCCCCACGTGCCGTTTGTATTAAATCTGGTATTAATATTTTTCCTCATACTTAGATACTAATAAAGTAGATGGTAGTATTTTTCTCTATAAGATTTACTTTAGTCACAGATGTCAAATAATATACATGTAATATTTTTCATCATACTGAGAGAAGAAGGAAATAGATTTGAGTATTTTTAACTAATAACCTTGTGTATGATGGTGTGTTGGTGACTGTATGACTGGATGGTGACTGGATGGTGACTGTATGGTGACTGTATGACTGGATGGTGACTGTATGACTGGATGGTGACTGTATGACTGATGTACTGTACCAAGGAGTGTGTCTTATTCATGAAGGGTTAAAACAGAAGTGTGATTTAAGTGTCTTCGGGTAAGGAAAAGTGTAATTTAAGTGTCATCAGGTCTAGAAAGGTGTGATTTAAGTGTCTTCAGGCAAGGAAAAGTGTGATTTAAGTGTCTTCAGGTCTAGAAAGGTGTGATTTAAGTTTCCTTTAACCAAGATGAGTGTAAATTGAGTACTTTCATCAGTGTGAGTCAAGTGTGTTTTGATCAAGTCTATACATATTGTACTGATCAAATGTAAACCTTTTTGTCTTCTGATCAAACCTTTCTGTATTTTTAATCAAACATAAACCTACTGTAAAACATAAACCCACTATATTGATAAACATAAACCAACTGTATTAAACATAAACCAACTGTATTGATCAAACATAAACCAACTGTATTGATCAAACATAAACCAACTGTATTAAAACATAAACCAACTGTATTAAACATAAACCAACTGTATTGATCAACATAAACCAACTGTATTAAACATAAACCAACTGTATTGATCAAACATAAACCAACTGTATTGATCAAACATAAACCAACTGTATTGATCAAACATAAACCAACTGTATTGATCAACATAAACCAACTATATACTGATAAAAAAACATCCCAAGTAACAATTGAAAAAAAATGGGTAAATTGATGAGAAATTATTATTATTATTTAAAGTTTCACCCCAATTATTGATTTACTGGTGAATGAAACAAACAAACTGTCCAAAATATGTTATAAACTTGTATCGCTCATGTTGTATCTGTGTGTGTGTGTGTGTGTGTGTGTGTGTGTGTGTTACTGTCAGTATGTAAGTTTGTAATAGAATAAATAGGCAGTCACTACTCACGTCCGTCCACCTTTCCCTCCGTGTTGACTGTCTGCATGTCTGTCACTCACCTGTAATAAAATAAACACTGAATTAATTAAAAACAATTTTATTCTGTTTTTTCTTTACGATGTTATGGTGTTATTTTTACGGTAATGTTCTTATGGTGATATTGATGGTGTTCCTCTTGTTATGGTGTTATGTGTTCTTCAAAGAGGTAAAGGGATTATTATAATTATGAAGATTAGTCACACCTCAGTTTATTTTACCTGATGATTAAACACCCTAACGATACCTGAGGAGGGGTTGGGTTGGAATGGTCAGGTAAACCCAACAAAGCAAAGCAAAACTAACCTAACCCAATCCAACCAAACCATATCAAACCTAACTTAACCTATCCTAACTTAACCAACTTAACCCAACCAAAACAAACTTCAGCCCAACCAAAACTAACCAACCTGAATGACCTATTTTTTTACCTCATCATTAATCAACATTGTTATCGAGTTACCACACTGATTACCCGGCAGCCTCGAACACTGAGTGGCGTTCTGAGTGGCGTTCTCAGCTAATCTTATCTGTCTGGCTCACACGGTGCTGGCTGGCGGGGGGGGGGGGGGTTGAAATAACGTCTATGCATTTCTTAACCTAACCTTACCTAAGATAACACAAGCAAACTTAACTAACCAAACCAAACCAAATCTAATCTTACCTAACCTAACTTATTAAGGTATAATTTGGCTGTATTATGAAGGTAAGCGACGTCATAAATAAAACACTTTACCATATACGAATTAATTTCCCATTATCTTGTAACAATAAAATAAAAAGTTATCCCAATTTGATACAGATGTTAGTTTTTAAACATTAATCAACGATTATATCTATTTACGTAACACACACACACACACACACACACACACACACACACACACACACACACACACACACACACACACACACACACACACACACACACACACACACACACACACACACACACACACACACACACACAGAGGTCAAGTTAAATAGAACAGTAGAACAATGAGTAACATCTTAGTTATGTTGAGGAAGTAAGACAGTGCGCGGAGTCTACGTGACACACACACCTGATGCACGAGGGAGGTGTGGAGGACAGGTGAGACACAGAGCCTCTCAGTGAGGACAAGAAGCTCCTCACCTCAAGAAACCAAACACTGGCCGCGGGTCTTAAGAAGCATCAACATTAGTTACGACGCATTACCTCGCTGACATACTGGCCGAATTCGTAAGAGACGGACTTTGAGTCTACCAGGAAAATTATTAATCTCGTTCTGAATATACATTTTTGTGTAAACTGATTCGGTTATAAAATTCTTGAGGCCACTTGAAGCAGCCACGACTGTCGCCACGCAGTTACCTCTACCTCCCAGCCTCGATAGATAACACCTGGGCCTCTCATCAGGTTGTCGGGTGGTGGTGGGGGGGAGCAGCATCTCACACACAGGTAGCCAGGCACAGGTGACAACGCAGCTTCTCCACGAGGGGGGAGGGGTCCATTTCCGCCCCTGATTAAATAGATCTGATTAAGGCGGAAGAGGTGTGCCTTGTCATCGATAAAAAATGTAAACAATAATATAATCGTATGATAATATTACACACCGGATGACTCCCCGCGCTGCTTAACGTAAGACTAAACATATCGAAGCTTCTGCAAGTAACCTTGGACCTCTTGGTGTCAGGGTCACAGGTTACAGGCACCAGTGTTGTCCACAGTTATATAACTTGACTGAGGAAAAGCGTTGGTGAAATATTTGAAGAACAACAACATCAAATAATCCACTGAACCATTTCTAAGAGAGACAAATTACACACTAGCTTCTTAATTTGGATCATTTATTTACTCCTTCAATTTTTTTTCGAAACTAATAAAGAACCCGAGTCGGACAAACGAACAGACCACCAACACCAATAAGCATTAAAGACGCATATTATAGTTTTTGTTTCAACGTAATATATCTCTCAGTAACCAGTCATCTTTATTAACAGGTCATTCTTTTATTGTGTGTTATCTCTGAAGTGTGTTTCATATTCATGTGTTCATTCCTCGTAGTGTGAGTGACAGCGGGTGGAGATAAGGCTTCTTTTACCAAGGTGTTCTACAGGCTGTGATAGTGTTTGACGTCAGTGATAACATGGTGTGTGTGTGAGAGAACCGCCTCTGTCCTCTTCATTACAACTCCTCCTTCTCTTCCTCATCATCACCACTCCTCACAACCCTCCTCCCTCCTCCTTCTTCTAAGTTAAGTAAATGATGAACAACAAAACGCCATAAGGTCCATAACTCCATACATACATACTGGTTGCCTCTCGTGTAACGAGGATGGCCGGCCCAAGGGCCGGCTAGGTGTGAATTTGTTTAAGGTGTAGAAGCTGTCGCCAACACAACAACCACACCCTGAGTTACCGAGCTGCATGATCCAGTGTCAAGGAACGGTCAGAGAAGACCGGACAACTCGCCAACTGCACTGGCTAACCATAACCCCGGAACACTATCCGCAAATCGATTAACATCCAGGTTCCCAATTACTGCTGGGTAGACAAAGGCAAATGGCGTAAAGAAATACATACATACATACATACATACTTACATACATACATACATACATACATACATACATACATACATACATACATACATACATACATACCGTCAAAAAAAACTATGTTAAAATATTACTACGTATTTCCTGAGTTAAAAATTCTTATCACGACGCAAAACCTTTATCTCCTAATCTCCAAATTCTACTAGGAGGCATTTCCTATCATGAATTACGCAGGTGATGTGTTTAGTGGGGGAGGGGCGTGTTGGCTTAAGGAGTTTACCTGTAATTAAGGGTAACAGGAAGTGGGTTAGGTGCTGCGTTAGTGCCGGAGGCTTGCTAAGGTGAGGCATAATGTTCTTGAAGTAAGGGAGAGGGGGGGGGGAGAGGAGGAAGGAGAGAGGGAATAAGAGAAGAAAGAGAGGAGGGTGGGAGGAAGAAGGAGGGAAGGAGTCAGTTTTCATGAATCTGGCAGACACACCTGAACTCAGTTTACACATATGTAAATTCAGGTATGATACATATCTCTCCAACACATCAGAATTTTAGTACATATTGAAGGTGAAGAGAGAGAGTGAGTGCTTGCTTGTTGCTTTAAACTGGCTGGCCGTCAACACCTGTGTCATTACGGCCGTCAGGTGATGCCAGGAGCCAGATAAGAGCATCATAATTCACCAACCATTCAAAAACATAAAATTAATTCAACTTATGTAACAAGTATATTGGTAAACAAATACAGTACATCAATAATAAGATCAGTAATATTTCTACATAACCTAAATTTAAAAGTAACAACATGCATATTAGTTCCTCATGACACGGCTAGATAGTGTTAAAATAATGTGGGATATTAACACTATAGGGGAGAACGGTACCTA